AGGGAACAGGATAAAAAGGAGTGAACTGTTAACATAAGGACAACCTAAACTGGGCTCAAGATTATGCTTATAGAGACGCCCACCTCAGGAGCACAGAGACCAGAGTCATCACAAAACGTTCTAGACAGGACAGACACGCACAGGGAGTGCAGTCGGCCAGGGCACACAGATGAAGAGTAGCAGGTGTCTATGGAGGAAGCAGGTTCGCCTCTGGCTGTGGTATTGGTTACAGAGCTGCATGGCACAGGACACACATGCTCCACACACACACAAGCACGAGAAGCTGATGGGCCTGTAGTCTGCCCAATAGCATGCTGGCAACATCATGTCCTGGCTCTAGAAAACCACTTATTCCATGGAAGCCCCCCGGGGAGCTGCACCAAAGGGGCTCGGGGCTATGTCACTAGTTTTATAACTTCCTGTGAGTCTGTAATTGTTTCAAAACAAGATCTAAGACAATCTGGGAGACAGTTTAAAGAAATTAATTAACAGACCAGGTAATTCAGAGCAATCATCCAGTAAGACATTTCTTAAAAACCAGACACAATCAAAAAAAAATGTGCCTGAAGTCACTGCAGAGTTAACAGGATTTGTGAGAGGCCTGGAGGCTGCAGAGTCAGGGTTAGGGCTCCCCCGAGCGACTCCTGCTGATTCCATAGAGGGTGCAGAAACCCAGAACCCCTGGAACATTTAAGACTCTGGCTAGTGGGACAGAACATGGATGCGCAGGGCTGTCATGGGAAAACCATGTAAAGCCCCTCTCGGTGGGCTCAGAACCCAAAGGACCACAGCTAGAAATGGGCATCAGTGCACGTTGACCAGCTGAAGCCTCTCGGGTCCCAACACTGTGTGGAAGTGACACTACACCATGAGCATCCTGGCCTCCCACCAAGAGCAAACAAAGTCTCTCTGGGAGTGAAGAACACTCTCAGGCCAAAGGACATTTCTGTAGTTTTTCATATACAATATACTTTAGCAACAAAACCATAGAAGCTCCAGATAATACTGTTGGACAAAGATTTTAAATTGTATTTAATATGTTCAAGGAGGTAAAAGAAACAGCTAAAAACTAAGACAAGGATAAGGAAACCATATAAATGAATAAAAGTTCTGAAACATTAAAAAACACTAGAATTAAAAATTCAAGGAGGTTTAATAGCAGATGAGACACAGGTGATAAGAGAATTAGACATGTCCAAACTGATTCAGAGGTAGAGAGAGAGGAGAAAAGAAAGTAGGAGACAAAGAATGGAGTGAGGTTCTCTCCCACAGACTACTAGGTCCCAAAAACACAGTGGAACAGAAAGGGGGGAATTGAAGAGAAACTGTCTAAGAACATTACCACAGCGACCAAAAAATCCATAAAAGCTACAGATCATGAAACCAGTATAAGCCCAAGAACCCCAAGAAAGATACAAAAAAAAAAACCTCATTCTAGGTACGTCATGGTAAATCAGCTAGAAACCACAGTTAAAGATAAAATCTCATAAGCAGCCAGGAAAAATTAACAGATTGTCTTTAAGAGAGTAACTTCTCAGCAAAAAAGGGAATAAATCTAGAAGACTACAAAATACTATCTTTAATGTGCTAAAAAAGTGACTGAACTCACATATGCCAAATTGAAGTCCTATCCCAGCAAAAATAACCTTCAAATGAAAAAAGACATCTTCAGACAAATTTGTCAGGGAGATAACCGACAGCAGATACACACTACAGAAAACAATAAGGAGTGTTTGGTCTTTGGGCAAAGGGAAAATGACCCCCTTGGAAGGTCAAAAATGCAGAAAGGAATAAAAAGAGAAAACAAAGGATATATGTGAGTAAATTGAAACTAATTTTGATTAGGTAAGACACAGTAATATCTTGTGTGATTTAAAAATATATATAAATCAAATGGCATGACACAAAGGCCATGTCAAAAGGGAGAAACTGGTGGGGCAGGGGGCCTCCCATGAAGCAGCCAGTTAGCACCAGGTGTGCCCACTGTGTGACAGTCCTCCACATGCCTGTGGCAGATGAAACTCTGGTTTCCCACCTCATTTCTGGCATGAGGAGAGAACTGTCCCAGACTCCAGAGAACAGCAGTGAGGGGTGGCCCTTCTAGTAGAAGAGGGTAGGTGTGCCCTGTCTTGGCAAGGTGCTTTTAACAATCTCTGGCAAATTCTCGTTTTCCCATCTCATGGCTACTCTGGCACCAGCAACACTTTGGCAAGGAAGGGGGTGGGCCCAGGATGGGGCAGCAGCCAAGAAGAAGCACCGACTCACCCCTTTCACATCAAGCCCAAACGCCTGCATGGTCTCACCCAGAGCAGGTGTCCTGAGGGGACAGACTTTCTGGAAAGTTGCCCCACAACCATGGGGAGGCTTTACAGCACACAGGCTCTTCCGGCCAGCTTATGACAGTCCTCTGTGTGATGAACACACAGGCCAGGCTGCCATGTCACCCAGGAGAAGCTGCCTGACTGCATGGGAGCTCCATGTGTGAGAAAAGGAGCAGGCCGCCTTGCAACATGTATGGCCTGAGCCCAGCTCTGAGAAACCCGTCTCAGTGAGGCCCTGGGCCTGGGAGCCCTCCCTCTGCTCACTGGTCAAACACCAAAGGTGGCACAAAAGAGACCCTGGAGGGAGAGGGTAGACTGTGACGGTTGTGTGAAGGTCACAGGGCTGCCTGTGCACTGGCCATGTGCAGGAAGCTACAGAGAGCTAGGACCCCAAAACCCAGCCCCACGCCAGACAAGCTGCTGATTCCAGAAACAGGTTACGGATCATGAACTGTCAATGCTGCTTGGGGTAGAGTCCTGATCCCACTAAGATAGAGGAGACATCTGGGGCCCCAGGGGCCACACTAGAAAGAGGGTATCTGCAATTTGTGCTCCAGGGGCATCTGAAGAATAGTGACCAGGTCCACGTCCAAACCTACTACCAATCTAGGCCTAAATGATCATGTGGAACCAGCAGCTCTGCCAGAAACTGGTTCAGGCTTCTGCAATTCATTTTCCAGTTGACACCTGTCAAACCCATGAGGACACTGAGTTGACACCAATAGAAAGGCAAGCTGGTGGCTCTCAGCAGGGAAGTCCCTCTGGACCTGCTTAGAGGCAGACAGCTGCCAGCCTCAGGGCAAGTCCCCACCAGGTCTGAGGCGGGAGGTGTGGACAGGAAACACAAGGGGTTCTAGCATCCCTGCCTCCCTGGCCAGGGCTCCCAGACTCAGGTCCAGGAAACATTTAGTCTAGGTGATAGTTTCTCTAAAGTTCTTGCCTGGCCACCCTTCAACCTTAGCCCCATAGCAGGGTGAAGCATGGCAAAGGACGGGAGTGGGCTCAGTATGGAGCAGTAACCAAGCAGCAGCACTGACTCGACTCTTTCACATCAAGCCCAAACGCCTGCATGGTCTCACCCAGGGCAGGTCCTGAGGGGACAGACTTTCTGGAAAGTTGCCCCACAAACGTGGGGAGGCTTGACAGCAAGGCAAGGCCAACCACAGGGCCCTGGGAGCTCTGGGTCAAGGTATGCACCATGAATGTCTGGGGACATAAAGTCAGGCATTTATTTCAACACGGTGGAAATGTGTCCTTCTCAAATTCTTAAAGAGAATCACCTGGAGGGGCTGCTGAGGTCAGTGACGCGCATGGCACCTTGCTGGTTAGGCCCTCCCCTGCACTTCACACAAGCGTCCCCTGGCACCTCTGGGCATGGTCCCACCCCCACCCCCGTACACCTCCCAGGAGGCTCCTATCGGCACAGGACACATACACTTGCCTGTATGGTGCTACCTTTTGAGTCCCAACCACCAGCTCCATGGTTTCCACCTGTGTGATCTGATGCACACACTGAGCAACATGGTGACCCCAACCCCGGGAGCCGCTGGGAACCAGGCAGCACCTGGTCACACGCCCTAACCATCCCCACCCTCTACAGCTGACTGCCTATGCCCTGTCCACCCACACCCTGACCCTAGACACTCCCTGCCATTGCCCAGGCTTAACAGGGCCCTCGTCCTTGGAATGCAGAACCTAAATCCCTAAGTCTGTAGTCTCCTGCCCCGCCACAGGCTGAGATCCGAGCTCCTCTGAGCCGTGTTGCAAAGGGTGGGAAGGCAGCCTCCCAGCTAGTTCCTATAGACCAACTCAGAGAGCAGCATGGACAGCGCGGACCATTTCCCGCACTGGTCGCGACTGGCATGGCAGGGGTGCGCCCAGCATGCCTAAACCTTCTTAATACCCCCAGCCAAAGGGGGGCTCTCCACACATGCACTGCACGACTAGGACTGGTCTTGGCACAGAGAATGTATATCTGCACAGGCACCCTGACTACCCCACAGGGTTAGAATAGCCTCAGGACATGTGGACATCTGTTAGGTGGGACCATCTGAGCTCAGGACAATGTACAAAGCTATGTTGGAAAGGATGGGTGGGCACGCTCGGCATCCTCAGCAGACCACCCAGGCCTGGTTTTCACAGCACGAGAGGAATGGCAGGACGGCCTGGAGGGCTTTAGCCTTGGCCTTCAGACCTACCTGCTTGACGCATAAGCTCTCCTCCAAGACCCCTGAAAGAGTAACAGAAATATTCAGAATTAAAATCTCTTAACATGTAAAACAACACGAAACACCCTCAACCCAGTACCTGAGGTAACTTCAGGCTCCAAAACCTATCAGAACATTTATTATCCAAATTTATTACTGAAGATATATACTACCTCAAAATAAATGAAAAACTGCGCTATAACCATCTTCCAGGGTCCTCTGTCCTAACTAGGGTTGTCCTGGTGGGCATTGTGACTCACTAGCGCTGAGCTATCCCCATCAGGAGGTCCCACTCTTATTTTTTTTTTTTTTTTAGAGACAGAGTCTCACTTTGTCACCCTTGGTAGAGTGCTGTGACGTCACAGCTCACATCCACCTCCAACTCCTGGACTTAGGCAATTCTCTTGTCTGAGCCTCCTGAGTAGCTGGGACTACAGGTGCCCGCCACAACACCCAGCTACTTTTTCTTTGCAGTTTGGCCAGGGCCAGGTTTGAACCCGCCACCTTCGGTATATGGAGCTAGCACCCTGCCCACTGAGTCACAGACACCACCCAAGTCCCACTCTTATAGAAGCAACTTGAGGCACCAAGAAGACAGCACCCTGAGCCCAGGGGGACCTGCTGCGGCTCCCTCTGCCCATTCTGGAGACCCACTCCACATCTGAGGCTGACGACAGGAAACTGGTGGCCACAGGAGTGAGAAACGAGACTTTGATGAGACTTTGGCTTCTGGGCCAGAGTAAGAAGATCTGGATTTGTCCTTCTGCCTCAACCAGAAACTGGGTAAGATGGGAAACTTCCACTTAAAGCCTGGGAGATAGAAGGCAGGATTCAGCCCCAGGAGCTGCAGGAGCCACATCAAGGAGGGAAATAGCAGCCAGGCCAGGCCAAGGTGGCTGGAAACTGCAGCAGAGGAGTGGGGACGTGGGGACACAGGTCCTAACTGGCAACATAAAGGCAGGAGGGCAGGCTTCCTCCTCCAAGGTAGAGATCGGCACAGGAATCACTGACCCACACCAGTTACGTTAAAAAGCCATCCAGAAAAAAAAAAAAGCCACAAGGTAAAAGTGAAATACTGACAAATCCCAGGCCAGACAAAGGGCTCTGATGGCTCAGAGGCAGACAGTAAAAAAAAAAACTTTTTTTTTTTTTTTGAGACAGTTTCACTTTGTTGCCCTCTGTACAGTGAGGTAGCATCATAGCTCACAGCAACCTCAAACTCTTGGGCTCAAGTAATTGTCTTGCCTCAGCCTTCCAAGTAGCTGGGACTACAGGTACCTGCCACAATGCCCAGCTATTCTTTTTTTAGCGACAGGGTCTTACTATTGCTCAGACTGGTCTTGAACACCCAAGCTCAAGCAATCTGCCTGCCTTGGCCTCCCAGAGTGCTGGGATTATAGGCGTAAGCCACAGCATCCAGCTGAGACAGAAAAATATTTTAACGAGCTAAAGCTGTGAAGTCACTTCACCAGAAATGCCCAGTCAGCACAAAGATGTCCAGCAGCACTAGGCACTTGAAGAAGTGACAGTGGCATCGAGACACCCACAGGGACGCTCAGGTTTGGGGCTCCGGGTGTTGGCCAGGCAGGAGCAGCTGTCAGTTGTGGAGATGCACCACCAGGCCCACAGCAACTCTCCTGGCCACTGAGACCCACATGCCGATATCCACAAATAGCCACAGGCACACCTCGGGACACAACACAGTACGGATCACAGCTCGGCAATAAAGAGGCACACACTGTAATGCACGCACCTCGAACACGTCTGAATGTCACGCTCAGTGAAAGAAACCAGACCCAAAAGGAGCATATTGTGTCATGCCACCCACAGGAAATCCTGTAAGAGGCAAGGCAGCAGAGCAGACCAGAGGCTGCAGGGCAGAGAACAGCTTGGGGTGGCCATTGTCTGTGAAGTGGGTGCCACAGCCACCACTGTCACCAAACCCAAACCACATCTACACAAGCGAATATTACTACCTGTCAAGAAAACCTCCACAAAGCTTAAAAACATCAGCTGGGTTGGACACTCCAGCCCTTGAATGCCGAGCTCAAGACTGACACAGCAATGCTAGCACGTCGCCAGCCGGTGGGTCCCACACTGCAGCTCAGCTGCTAGAGGTGTTAGTGCTGGCAGCACCTCTTTCCACAGGGACATAAAGCAAGAGCTGTGGTTCTGTGAAGCTTACCTGTACAACTGGCGGTCACAAAGCTAAAAGTAAAGAAGTGTAAGTTATTAGTTATTCATTTAATTTGACTTTTTAAAGTAACACAGTATGTCCACAATAGGAGCAAGCATCAAACTGAGAACAAAGAGAAAACAGCGGAACCAACCACTTAGCGTATGGGGCGGCCCACTCCCCACCACTGCACCCGGCACCTCACTCAGCCCCTCAACAGGCCCAAAAGGTCCTAAGGGGGGAGATCAAGGCCCCTAGAAGGGAAGGATAGGTGGGACGTCGCCAGGACTGTGCCAGTGAGCCCTAAGGTCAGATTCAGAGCCCTCCCCCCAGACAGCTCCTCTGGGCAGAAAGCAAACGTGGAAGTGGGAATCTGTTTCTTTTCTTTTTTTGGAAGTAACTTAAACGCCCTTCACAACACCATCAACTAAACAGTAGCATCTGGTTACCATCACCACTAAAATTTACTAAAGGTTCACACTTTACAAAAAATTCTACTAAATTCTTTACATATATCCTTTAATTCTCACAAAAATTCAAGGAAGTAGGTTGTTACTACCTATTTTTACAGAGGAAGGAAGTTGTGGCCCAAAAGACTCCACCGTTTCTCACAGTTCATAGGGAGGACCCTTCCCTCAATCACTGCCCTGTCACCTCCCAGTCCAGAGTCAGAAGACAATGCCAGGCCCCTTCTCAGGGTGAAAAACATGAGCAAAGAAACTGAATGGCCAAAGCCAAAGGCAACTTAACGGCACAAATAAGATAAGGATCCAACATCAAAGTGGTGCATTACTCCATAAGAGGAAAACCTAAAGATATAAACAAAAAGTGAAACCATTCAGTTCCTCACAAAGAATTCTGATATAATACTGAGACACACAGTTCGTACTCTTTTGGGTCACAGAAGCCTTTAGAAATCTCCAAAAATCCCCCAAAATGCACATATCTTCTCCCCAGAGAAATGGGCTCACAAAATTTTGGACCAGATCTCAGAATTGGAGACCTTGGATTCCCAGCAGACACACAGCTGCGTGCCCCCCAGCCCCTCCCATAACAGGAGCCAGTAGGGTGCCCAGTACCACTGAAGACAGTGCCTGGCATCACCAAAGCCTCCCCAGAGCGCCAGCATAGTAAATGTGCACCTGAGATGGGGCGCCCAGCAGGAGGAGGTCTGTGCTCACTGCCCAGGGTCTTCCCATCCCAGAGAAGCCCCTCAAGGTGGCCATGAGAGCAATATTCCAGAGTGATCACATGAGGGTCACCCCACGATACCCTAGGACTTCAAACAAGCCGGAGAGATACCCACAGCTCAAGAGAGGGGCAGCCATGGCACTGTACACAAACCTGGGGGTGGATCTGCTTCAGGCCCTGCACCACCTGCTGGTCCAGATACTCCGTAACAGGCCTGCAAAGTTCAAATACAGCCCCTTAGGTCACGTGACCAACACCCCAACCTTGGTACATGCTGAGGACACATGGGCTCAGAAAGACGGCGAGACCTCCCTCAGGTCCCCACGGGTCACACAACCCTGGCGGGGCATGCCATGTCCCTGGTCTGGGTCAAAGCAGTTGGATGTGAGGAGACCCTAGAGCTGCAGACCAGATTCCCACCAAACCCTAACTGAGGAGGTACCCAAGACCTCAGACTGTTTGTAAAGGCCCAGGTTCATGCTGGGCACCTGCTCTCCCTCTGGGATCTGGAATTCTGTCCCATGCTAGGGAGAGGTGTCCACAGGACCAGACCCTGGAAAGAGCCCTGGACCTGGGTCCCACATGCATTTCCCTGGAGGACACAGCACATGTGGGGTTCCCCAGGAGGAGACCAGGAGCTCGAGCCTGCTCCCCTAGACTCCACCCACACACCTTCCCCACAACCAAAGACAGTGGCGCCCAAGCACAGGGTCTCAGTTCTGCAGTAGGCCCCACTTCTTCACACGTGGACACCCTGAGGACGGGTTGCAGCCTTGAGTGGGCTCTGGGGCTACAAAGCACACACAGCCACAACAACCTCCCCTGGCTCATGGGGAGCAGTCCACATCTACCCACCACCACGGTACCTCAGCGAAGCAGCTTGAATACAACTAAAGAGCCAAGTTACAGACATCACAGCCTGCTCATGAGCTGCTACTTTTGAGGAAGAGTTGATTACAAAGGAAAGAAAATCGAGTAGCTGTTATAAAACACTCTGCTGTATGGAACTTCTCAGTGAACCTACACTTTCCCTGCTTTATTATTGGTACAAATGTAGCCAACTGAAAAAAATTATCAAGGGAAACTGTTGTATCTTTGACACTTAAAAATACTTTAAGTGATGAATAAAACTGAACATGTGAGTTGCTCAGTATCACCTCTGACAACGTGTCTTCACTTTGTTAACCAACATGCCCTCAGAAAGCATGAGGGCATTTAAGCCCAGCTGGGGAGCTGTGGGTGTCCCTTGTCTGGAGGGAAAACCATTTACAAGTAAGATAAGGGAGCCTGAGGACAGCAGCTCTGCTGCAACAGACAACCATCGGCACACCCCAGGGCTCAGAGGCAAAGCCTGAACTCCTACCATCGCCTACCTGCTCTGTTGTGCTGCAAGTCGATACAGGGCGTGGGTGAGCTCTGCACAGGCAAGAACCGAGCCATGCCGGGTGTGCAGATCCGGACTCCGTGTCATTGTCAGCAGTCTTGGGAAAACTGCAAGGACAGGCCAGGAGGACACAGTCTGTCAGATCCAGAGACATGCCCAGGAGATACATTCAAAAGAAAGAACTAATACTGTCAGGGTGCTGCCCCACACCCGGGACACCCCTGCAGCTGAGGCAGAATGTGCAGCACCTCCCACACACAGAGCACAAGGAGAGCGATGGGCATCCAGGGCAGCACCTCCCCCCCACAGAGATGTGGTGAGGAAAGGAACAGGTGCTGCCCTCATCCTGCCTATATATCTCAGGCCCTCAGGCTGCCAAAGGGATAGGCCCAATGCCCAGGGTGAGGCTGTCCCCCAGCTTGGTAGGGTCCCCTCTCCTCAGAACACAGGTAGAGCCAACCCTGTGCTCTGGGAAACAGAAAGCAAAAGCTCCCACCTCCACATGCCCACATGGGAGAGGCACGTGTGCCACAGTGCCCAAGCCTCTGCAGCATGTACTCTGTCGGGACCTGCCAACCTTGAGATGGCTCTGACAATTAGGATAGCGTCTGGCCTGAGAGCACTGAGTCAGGCGACACCTGGAGAGTCTGATTCCTAAAGAGCCATGAAGCCTGAGGAAATGTCCCACCTACCAGACCACCCCTGGGGGGTGGGCACAGCCCAGCCCGCTCACCATTAGCGATGGCTGGCTCCTCCTTCCCGGGTGCCCAAGTGCCACCCCAAATTCGTGACACTAGGTTTAAGGAATTAACAAGTACCAAACCTTCATTAAAGTCCCTTAGTGTGTTAAACACATACGTAAAATTAGTCTTCCCAAGCAAGGAGCCACAGTTCGAACTCCAGCTTAGCCACTTAACAAATGCCAGAGGAATTCCATACAATGTTAAGAAATTTGTGTATTGTCCCAACCTTTAAGTCAGCTGCTTATTTATTCCAGGTAGAAAAGACACTTTTTCTCTACTAGTAACAAAGCCTCACCAGCACAGGCTTGGCTGCTTGGCTGCTCCGCTGCACAGAGGCTGACAGGACGTGCTGCCTAGCTCCAGCCTTTCTGTGGAGATAAAAACTCAGGGAGCTCGCCTGGGGCAGGTTTGTGCAGCCTGGCAACCCGGGAGGCCCAGCGTGTTTTTGAGTCACAGAATCTGGCTGGTCAAGGCTGCTCTGTGCGTGGACACACACCACAGCTGTCCTAGACTCTGTCCCCTGACCAGGACCACAGCCAGTGTTTCAGACATTTCTCATCAGGAAAAAAGATGAGCCTTATTTCCACCCCCAGGACTTTGAAGCCAGGCTGGCAGCCCCACATGGGTCTTCCTACTGTGTGTGTGGGCATGAGTGTATGGGTACATGTGCTCGTGTGTGTACATGTGCTCATGTGTGAACATGAGAGTGAATACATGTGCAGGTACATGTGCTCATGTGTGTGAGAATGTATACATGTGCAGGTACATGTGCTCATGTGTGTGAGAATGTATACATGTGCAGGTACATGTGTTCATGTGTGTACGTGAGAGTATATGTGCTCATGTGTGCACATGAGAGTATATACACGTGTGGGTACATGTGCCCATGTGTGTATGTGAGAATGTGTACTATGTGCAGGTACATGTGCTCGTGTGTGTCCGTGAGAGTGCATACATGTGTGGGTACACGTGCTCATGTGTGCACATGAGAGTGTGTACATGAGAGTGTGTACCTGTACGGGTACATGCACTTGTGTGTATATGTGAGTGTGTATACATGTGCTCGTGTGTCCATGAGAGTGCATACATGCGTGGGTACATGCCTCGTGTGTACACATGAGAGTGAATCTGTGGCATCTGTGCAGCACCCACAGGACAGCCAGAGCACACGCCTACCGTGAGTGGTGCAGTACTTGGGGGCTTTCGGAGCCAGGTTAGCCAATGCCTTTGCTGCCAGCTCTCTGATGACCCTGAGAGAGGGGAGAGAAAACTATTAGCTCTGGCTGGGCATGATGGTGGTGCCTACAGTCCCAGCACTTGGGGAGGCTGAGGCAAGAGGATCGCTGATGCCAGATGTTTGGGCAGTGAGCTGTGTCAGCGCCATTGCACTTCAACCTGGGTGATAAGGCCTCAAAAAAGAAAAAAAGAAAATTATTAGTTCTTTCTTTCGAATGTATCTAACCTTATCTAATTCATTTAGAGAAAAGACAGGAAAGACATATACATGAGTCTTCAATTGGCCACCTAGTCAAGACCAGTAATCAAAAACATACAGGTGAATACACACACGAAAGCCTCACGTTGTGACAAACAAAACAAGAGAAAGAGAACGGGCATGTAGTCCTTGTCAGGACACAGCTGCCATCTCTCCTGGGCACTGCATGGCAACTTGGGCTTCTGACCTCCTTGCACAATGCACTCAGAAACATGAGCACTGAGGGGGCCATGAATAGCCCCTACTCTGAAGATGGCAAGGGCCGGTCACGGGAGACTCCATCTGGCTCAGCCTAGGAAGCTGGAGGCCACAGCATGTTAGCACAGGAACGTCTTGGGCCCCACTGACACACTGCTGCATTTACCTAGGAGGATGCCCAGGTCTGGCTATGGCCCCGAGCCCTCCAGAGCCCCTCTCCCCCCATGTTCAACTGAGTGAGCAGCAAGCTCCCATATGGACTCTCCAGCCCCACAGACCAGCCAGAATGGTGAGCAGCTGCCACTCACGATGGTAACAAGGTAGCCAGATGGCAGCAGAGTTGTGGGTAAGAAAACAGAGGTGGGCATCATGCTCTGACTATGCCAGCCCCAACCAACAGCATGGGGTGAACATAGCATGGCTAGAGCAGCAGCCCTGGGTCAGGCCCTCTCCATCTCTGGAATATGACAGCCACCCTATTTTTGAACTTACAGCTGGTTTGCTGACTGATGCCGTCCAAGACAATGATAGAGAAAGGCAGAAATATCTCCATCTCTAAAAAGATGAGAGGATAATAAGGGCATAGTCATGTTGTATAATCCCTAATGTTCTAGAAAATGCCAGCTGGTGCCATCAGGAGTGGCTCTGAACCTGCTGACAGTAGAACAAGACAGCCTCTTCAGGGCCCTCATCTCTATATACCCCAAAAAACTCTCCAATTTTCAAAGTTCCTGCTACAAAAAAAGATTGCCCCCAAGGAATTTTTTAAATGAAATAACAAAAAAGCCATGAGAAAAATAAAAAATAAATAGCAAAACAGCTGGTACAAATCAAACCATATTGATAATTATATTAAATAGATCAAACACTCCCCACAAAGAGGCAGGAAACTGTAGCCCTGGGTACAAAGGCAAAGAGACTGAAAGTAACAGAGCAGCAACCTGAGAGGATGGGGTACCACTCAGGCCCGTCACCTGCCACTGGGGCAGACCCAGGCTGAGGCCATGTCTTTGAGGAAAGACCTAAACTAAGAATGGTTTGCACTTTTTTTTGTTTGTTTGTTTTCACATTTTTAAAGGGCTGTATATAGAAAACAAAATAAATAAATAAAACACAGGGGACAGAAACCTACAGAAAAGCTTACCAACCTCTGTAACCATAGCAGAATCAAATTAGACCTTAAGGCAAGAAATCTAACATGAGAAAAAGAGGGACACTTCATAATCAAAAGGGTTAACTACCCAGGGTGATGAAGTGAGACTGTCTCAAAAAAAAAGAAACAAAGGAAAGGAAAAAGGGTCAACACATTAGGAAGATAAAGCGCAGTAAATAAATGTGTCCCTAACAAGCACCGCTGCCCAACATGCATGAGGAGAAAGGACACAGGAGAGCCGGCCACCCACAGGACCCACCTTGCACCTGCTCGCCACTGCCTGCTCCTGACCAACCAGCCCCTACTTGGCTCCTGGCAGCTCATGTGAGGCCCCAAATGCCAGGCCTCGCACATCCCTGCAAGTGGAGACTGCAGAAGGAGACAGGAGGGACAGCTCTCCTGCCCCCAGAGGACCCCACAGCAGCAGCCAAGGACACTGAGGCATGGGCCTGACACTCCCCAGTGGCTCAGAGGAACTGTCCTGAGCATTCCTGACCAGCATCTCTCACACACAGATGCTCACTGCTCCTCTGCTGCAGGCCTGTTGTCCTCGGACCGCCCAGAGGTATGGGCATAGTACTGACACTTGGGTCCTGCTCTGGATCATTTACCTTCCCCTTTGAATGGGCACATTTAACTGCTTATGAGAAGCTAAGATACCTTGAAACTGTTACTGCAATTATGAAAACCACCACAAAGCCTGCTGGACTCCCGAGAAACATGCCAAAGACACGGGGCAGCCACGTAGAGCAGGGTCCTATGGGGGCACGTCTCTCCTGCTGGGGAGATAGAGGTGCCCTCCCACCCTCAGGTGGCCACACCCCAATAGGGAACAATTACACTGGACATGCTGCCTGGCCAGGGTCTCCAGAAGTAGGCCTGGATTCAGCCCCTCATGCCCAGAGGTTATAATGCATGCACCTCTCAGGAGGGACGCAGAGATACACCAATTGCAGTAAGAAAGGCACTCGGGCTCAGCAGCCTAATTTAAGTTCTCCTTTGGGAAAAACATAAGAATTCTTAGAAAAACAAAGACATAAAACTTACCCGTCCCAGTGGTTGATTTTCATGGTAACCAGGTGATCTATCATTGGCTGGGTGTACTCAGGAAAGCCAGCGACAAACACACTGAAAAAGACAATGATAAGACATCAGGGAAGCTGTAGAGGAACCAGAGCTTGCATGCTCTGCTCATGAGCACAGGAAAGGGCAGTCGCCTGCAAGGATGGTGCAGCATTCCCTCAAACCTGAGGACACCTCAGCTTGGCACCTATAGCTCAGTGGCTAGAGCACCAACCACATGCACTGGGGCTGATGGGTTTGAATCCGGCCTGGGCTTGCTAAACAACAATGACGACTACACCAACAACAACAGAAAAAAAAAACAGCTGGACATTATGGCTAATGCCTGTAGTCCCAGCTACTTAGGAGACCGAAGCAAGAGAATTGCTTAAGCCCAAGAGTTTGAGGTTGCTGTGAGCTGTGACGCCTAGGCACTCTACCAAGGGTGACATAGTAAGACTTTAAAAAAAAAGCTGAGGACACCTCCCAGCTATGTGATCCAGCTATTCCCCCAAAGTTGCTGCCAAAGGCACTGTGTTCACCCAGGAAAAAGGAGCCATCTTGTGCACAAAGGCATGGAAGGCAAAAACTGGGAGCTACCCTGGCACCCACATGGAGTAAATGGCTCCAGCAGACAAGGAACAATACCAGTGAAGGGATGGACACAGACGCGGGACCATGAGTGGCCTCAAAACACACCAACTAGAAGGAGTCTAACAGAAATGAGTGTGAGCTATTTCATTCCACTAATACAAAACTCCAGAAAATGCAAATCATCATCATGAATAGCACAGGACCAGAGGCAGGGACGGTGAGGAGCAGCCCAGGGCTCCAGGTGACAGCTGTGTTCACGCCTCAGCATTAGAAGCAACGGGTCCACACTGAGCACCTGTACACAGCATGCTGTGCTCCTGTATGCAGGCCGTTCATGCTGACTACACTTCAACAAAAAGCTGTTTCTTTTTTCTTTTTGAGACAGAGTCTCACTTTGTCATCCTTGGTAGAGTGCCATGGCCTCCTAGCTCACTGCAACCTCAAACTCTTGTGCTCAAGCAATTCTCTTGCCTCAGCCTCCGGAGTCACTGGGACTACAGGTGCCCACAACACCAGCTATTATTAGAGATGAAGTCTCACTCTTGCTCAGATTAGTCTCAAACTCCTGAGCTCAGGCAATAGACCTGCCTTGGCCTCCCAAAGTGCTGGGATTACAGGCATGAGCCACCACACCCAGCTGAGCTGTTGGAATTTTTGAGGAAAAGACAAGTGACAAACGGGGGGGGGGGGGGCGCCTCTGGAAGATACAAGACGATGATGGGCTTCCGTCAGAATAGAAGGTAACCCAGGTACAAAACAGCCCCAAGATTTGTACAGAAACATCACAAAAAGAAGACAAAAGCCAAACAAGCACATGAATACATGTCCAACATCTGTGTCAGCAGGAAATGCAAATTTAAACAACTACTAAAAGGCAAATACCAAGTGCTAGCAAGGCTGCGGAACAACCAGTACTTGGGAGCATTCTCAGTGGGAGCACGAAGTTACACAGCCACTCTGCAGAACAGCCTGGCACTTTCTTACAAAGCTCAACGTATTAAAATTCCCCTTTATATCTCACATAAGAAAAATGAAAAAGCACATCTACATGACACTTCCGAGTAAATGCTCACAACAGCTTCATTCACAAGAGTCCAAACCTATAGCAAGAGGCAAACGGACAGACCAGCTCACAGCCACAGAGCCTGTAAAGCTCTGCAGCAGACTCGGGATAGAACTCTCAGCTGAGCCAAGGGGGAGCATCCAGATGCAGAAGGGGGCCTGGAGCACCTTGTGACCTGCTGTGTGACACTGGCCTACAGCATCACAGACCATGTCTACCAGCTTCTGGCACAGAGCCGTGTGGCTGGAGGCAGCAGGAGCAACCATGAGGGTTGAGGACACGCCCCACCCAAGAAAGCACAGGACACCAGCACTGCTGGAATGCACGCTTCAAGCATAAACTGCTGATGAGCTGTAAATTATGTCTCAAAAAAGTAAAAGTTAGATCTCCTGAAAAACAACACAGAAAATTTAACAAAAATAATCTCCAAGTGGAATGGGCTTTCTTATTATGACTCAAAAGAAACCATAGAAGAAAATGACACATTCAAACACATAACCCCAAAAACTGTCTACCAGAAAAAACACACAAATCCAAAGTCAAAAGACAAACAACAAATCTAGGAAGAATATCTGCAACTGACACCACAGACAAGAGAACTGCCTAAAATAAATAAGCTTTTACATATCAGTAAGAGAAACATCACAGCCCAGCAGAAAAATCATCAAAAAGTTTACAGAAAATACATACATAGCTGGACAAGTAGAAGCTGCCTTCACATGGGAACCAAAAAGAAAACCTCTGCTCACCAGTCAGACAGCCAAGTCCCAGGGATTTGCGCCTTTCACCGCAGGGCTGAGGAGGCCCAGAGACACTGCTGAGCTGCATTTCAGTGCAGCTGCTGCACAGTGGTTGGCAGCACCCATGAAATTATCTTTTTTGGGACAGAGTCTCACTCTGTCAGCCTGGGTAAATGCCTTGGTGTCAGCATAGCTCACAGCAACCTCAAACTCTTGACCTTAAGTGATCCCTCCTGCCTTGGCCTCCCAAATAGCTGGGACTCCAGGTGTCCACCACAACACCCCCTAATTTTTCTTTTGTTAGTAGAAATGGAGGGCTCACTCTCACTTAGGCTGGTCTCAAACTGCTGAGCTCAAGGGATCCCCCCACCTCAGCCTCCCAGAGTGGTGGGATTATAGACGTGAGCCACCATGCCCAGCCTCACTAAGGAAATTTAAGCATCAACACCCTTTGATTCAGCATTTTCATTTTTGATAATCCATTCACATGTAATCACGCAATTGAAAAATTACATATAAAAATATCCACATTTTAACAGCAAGAGACTAGACAGACCCAATGGCCTAGGAGAATGTGAGCAGATTACAGCCTGGGTCCAGACTCTCCAATGCATGAGGGAAGGAAGCCACACTGCACCGCTGTCCTCCCTGTACTGCCCAGCCGCTCACGTCCCACCGCGGGGCCTTATCGCAGCACTGATCCAGCACACGGCAGTCACCTGCCTGTATGTGGCACTTTTCTATGACTCACACTTAAGTGTTCACTGAACCCTGGTACAACAGCCTTGTTGAGCACTTAGCTATGACCTTCGCGTGTTGCCAGGCCCTCCACCAGGCTGCCGGAAACAAACAAGAGCTGCTGAAGAACGCAACTCCCTAGAGCGGAGCCAGACAGGCACCCGTGAGTGCAGTAAGACACACGGCCTAGAGAGTCGGTCAGGGAGTATTCGTTCTAGAGGTGTTAAAGAGACCAGCAGAGAGGCTCCTCCAGAAGTGGACAGAGAGCACCCTCAGGTGATAAAACAGCCCAAGGTAAATTCAGGGAAAACAGAAGCATTGAGACACTGGACAATCTGCCAGGAAAGGCCCCAAGGCCCCGGCAGGTCTGGCAGCACCGAAGACACCAACACCAATGCGCCTCAGCACCCAGCCCCACCCCAACAGCCTACCCCAGGAGCAGGAATCAGGGCCCAGGACACCCAGGAAGCTAGCAGGTGACCAGCAGCTTCCGGAAAGCAGCAGACAGAGCTACAGCCTAACTCCACAGCGGGTGTCAGGGCCCAGGACACCCAGGAAGCCAGCAGGTAACCAGCAGCTTCCTAAAGCAGCAGAGTACAGGCCTGAGTCCTGGCCTAGCCGCCTGGAGAAGACTCCTGCGCCCTCGGCCGCAGGAAGCAGGCGCAGGGCCTGAGTGCGTGGGGTCCACACAGTGAGAGACAGGACAGGCCCAAGGCCCATGGGTAGAGCACAGGCCCACAGTGTAAGGCCCATAGGAAGCAGGTCAGCTAGAAGGCCTATACAATGTCCAGGGGGTCAGGGAAGACTGAACACCAGTTGATAGAGGTAAGGGAAAAGGCCCAACAGAGATACAACAGTGGCCAAACTGAGTGGCCAACTGGGGAGGGGAATGAAGTAGAAGGAGCTGCTGGGACCAGGGAGCGTCACTGGCTGACTTGGCAGTGGAGCTTCCCTGACCTGAGGCATCTACAGGACAGGAACAAGCATAATTAATGGAAAGCAAACTACTAGACAGCAAAATACAACAAAAATGCATTTTTTCAAAGGATGCTCAATGCCCAAGACATCAGAAATTAGTGAAGGAATCCACAAGGGAAAGAGGAAGCACCAGCCAATAAACAACCAAAAATTGCCACAGAGGAGCAGCAGGTGGGGAGGGTCCTGCTCTGTGTTGCACGTCAGACTTCTGGCTACGGGACATGCAGGCAGCAGCAGAGCGAGTTACCAATAAACTCAGTAAAGCATGAAGAAAGACAGAGGACACACGCTGCCTGGTCTGCACACAAGACCTTCTGAAAAAGGCAAAGCACGGTGGGGGCTGGGCAGGGGGCTGGGCTGATGGCAGGGCTGGTGGCACAGGCCGAGGGGACGTCTAGGGCCAGGGTGGGTGCTCCACACGGACCAAGGCCCTGGCTATCCAACTGTCCCTGTCTGTCAAAACCCACCCTATACCTAAACCATATTTAAAACTGGCATTTCATGTAATTTATATGTAATAAAACAGACGTACAAAAATAAAGCTAGTTTTAATGCCTGAAAAGGTCTTGTCTTAGAAGCACACAGGACACAGAAAGTACCTACATGTGAAAGAGAATGGGCTAAGGTGCCATGTGTTAGAAACATAAGAAGAATTCTCAAATTCTCAATAAGAAAATAACACAATAGGTAAGTGAACAAAAGATTTGTTAAATCAGCCCCTGAAATGGTGTTCAGCATGGTAAGTCTTTAGCAAAACAAATGACTGGGCTAGCCAAGCACCCCAGAACAACCCACCTGAGATGACCAGCCCAGTGCCAGGACCCTGGACACAACCCACCCCTAGGAAAACTGGTTGGCAGTTTCTTTAAAAGCTACGGTTCAGCCATCTGCTCCTGGGCACCTGATCCAACAGGTGACCGCAGTGTCCAAGCCTGGGCACAGACATGGGCATGCACAGCAGCTGCTCCTGTAATAGCCCTGGCCGGAAACAACCCAGACATCCCTCAGAAGACTACTGAACCGACAGACTGGCCACATGCACAGTGGGAGCCACTGCTGTGCCAGCATGTGCACAGCCAGGCCTCAAGTAAAAGGGGCTGAAGAGGCCAGCACAGGCAGGATGAGGGCACCCAAACTTCTGTGGGGACAGCTGCCCACCAGGTGCAGATCTGCGCAACCACGCGTGAGCACACAGCAGCTGACCATGCACAGCTCATGCTAGCAGGAGCTGGCTGGTGACAACTCCTGTCCCCCCAGCAGTCCTGGTCCCCGGGGGGACAGCGGAGGACTCCACCAGGTTCAACTCCAGTTCCTGTGTCAGAAACTCTGATTCCAGAGGAACCACCTCTAGGTCAGCCTGGGAGGCAGCCCTTCCACTTAGGCCAGCCACAAGACCCTGGCCATCAGCACCTGCAAGGCTGAGTCCCACCTCCCCATGGCCTCCCCTGTGCCCTTGTCCAGCCACAGTGACCCAGCCCCCAGGCCCTGAAATGGGCTCACATCCTGACAACACCCAGTGCTCCAGTGGACCACCCCTCCCCGACCCATACACCCCCCCAAGGGACCCCTAACCACCTCCTGTCTCCGGTCACAAAACGCCAAAGTGACATATCCAAAACAGACCTGGCCATCTAACCTGCTTATTACAGCTTAGAGCCCACCCAGGCTAGGCCTGCTCACCCCTCCCTGGGGCCATGCTCCCCCACGCCAGGCCTCAAGGTCCAGTGCCTTCAGTCTAGCCACACAGGCTACCACCTTCCTTGCCTCCAAGGCCTGGGCTAACAGGGTGCCTGCTACCCACCCTGCCTGGGGTTGGGGGTGCCTCTGCCAGAACACCCCATGGCCACAGCGTGGCTGACAGACATGCTTGCTAGCAAGTTCAGAGGAGGCCTCAACTGCACAAGGGCCTGGATGCTGAGGTCAGGGCACAAGACATACTTGAGAAGGGACACGCCTAAAACCAGACCAAGTTTTCCCATGTGTCTGTCTATAAAACACACATGTGAATTACATGCAAGTATCAGGCTGACTCGAAAAACTTTGACATGTAAAATGTGCACAAGTAAAATTAACTGTCAGTTATTTTACCTGAGAAACTTGAGGGACAGGTGGTAGATTTCTTTATGTAAAATATATATCCAAACATTAATAATCAAAGAAAACAAATGAAGCTAGGAAAGAACTAAAAAGGAATAAAAGGATATTAAATGTTGAGGAAGGATGGAAAGAGTGTTAAAAATACAGACAGTGTATTCAGTCAAAGATTCTTCTTGGGAAAGTGCCAAATGCTATATCTTTTTTAAAAATCTGTCCATGCTGGTTATGGAGAAATGTCACTTCTGCTCAGTCTGCACAATAGAGCTCTTAGGGAATCTGTCCTTTGGACAGATGTCAATAATAAAAATTGTACTGGACATGTTTCTTCTCCTAATTTGTAGCAAACACATCACTTCATATAATCATACCTTTTTTTGCATTTAAGTACACTCAAACAAGTAATTTCTCCCCATACTTAAATTATGCAAGTAAAAATAATTTGGTATGATTTCTGCAACTGCAGTTAGGGATGTTAAATATTTATTCCTTGACCTGATTTATCAAATACCTCTCTCTTACTCATCTCATAAACAATCTAGAGATAATTTCAACTCTGAAACACTTTTTACTAAAACACAAAAAAGGAACACAGTCAATTCTAATCCAAGATTTCATTTTGAAAAATTAAGACAGCCAAGAGGAAAATCATCACACATCAGGACATGTACAATTCCAAGACCTACCCAGAACCAGGACTAATAAAACACAGGACTATTCAGAGAAAAGTAATCACCACAGAAAAAAAAAGTCAGCACTGTCAGCAGCAGCCCCTCTCTGCAGCTCCAGTCACGGCTCCTGGCATAAAGTGTGACATGATCCACCCACCAGGAAGCATAAGTTTCAGCACCTGTTTCCAATTCAATTTTTAGCTTTTCACACAAAAATTTCATATTTACATTTAGTGAACCTTTTAAGACGAAGAAAGAAAAGGGTGGAAAGTGGTTTTCTTTGACATCTAAATCAAAGAGTATCCTATTTTTGTTTTTGTGAGATACATTAAAAACTCACCTTATAACCAAGAAACAGTTGGATCTGTTCCCAACAGCAAAGTAGTCAGCCGTGGTCAAAATGTCAATTCCATGAGGGAACGTGCCCTAAGAAAGTGAAATTGAAAAAAAAAGGCATTTTAATGAGCAAAGACATTTTGGAAAGTTCAACAGTCACACTGCACAAGCTTATGATCGTGCTGGGAGCCTGGTACCTGCAGCCAAGGAAGACCATGCTGCGGACACTGTCCATGGGGACCTTTACATCAAATCAACTTTCCAACTGCCTATCCCAGGTCAGACACTGCATTAAAATTATATGAACCCCTTAAAAGTGTTTAATTTTTCCTCAAACATTACAACTATAATCACAAACCATAAACAGAATCAGGTATGAGTCGCCTTGAGACCCCCACAAGGAATCGCCTCTGGCAGGGTGGCCGAGCTAGGAAGCCAGGACCAGAACCCACACCCCACACACTGCTGTGTGAATGGGAGAGACCAGTGGGTGCCAGGTGCTGACAGCCACCAGTGGCATGAAGGACACACAGGGTAGGGGGGCCTCTGTCACACCCCAGAGTGTCCTGACAGGCCCCAGACCCAGAGTCTACATGTTATTATTGATACCACTCTCTGACAAACGTATTTGGAAATTTGAAAATAGTATAAATAATTTTCTAATAAATAAATGACAGATTTTAAACCACATGTAGGAAGTCTTATGGCTACCCATACTGAGGAGCTTTGGAAGTCTCAGAGAAGTAACAGCCTCTGGACCTGATGTCAATGGTCCTTTATCATACCAGAGACTGGTAGAGCCCAGGCCACACAGCAGAAGCATACAGGCTTCCAGAAGCTTCTGGAAGCTGGATGCTGCTCCAGGGAGAGGATAGGCCTCGGGCAGCAGTCGTCCAGGGAACTGCCACACCCTGTGAGCCCACATTGTGTACAATACATGAGATGAGAGCTTCTGACCCTGCATGAAGTCACTTCTACACACAGGCTTCCCATGAAACACACGACGTGCTATTTAATTTGAACATGTGTCAGCGTCCACATGGGTCCCATCCTGGCGTTGTGCTTGCTGCTTTCCTAGGAGGTGAGTTCTCTACCCACACCTGACAATGCAAGATAATACCACCTTTACAGCTTTGGAAATTTCTGCCTCTAACCTACAGGAAGTTTTAGGAATAAAGATTTTAAAAAGCAGCCATACCTGTCTCCCCACATTCTCCTGGAAGGCGGCCTGAGGAGAAGCAAAGAACACACAGCAGGTGAGCAAGGTTTGCTTTTCCCAAACATGAGACGGTAAGTTCAAAAGCAACACTGTGCAGCATAAATGACCCACAGCTTTACTCTCTAAATCAAGTCCTCACTGTTAGCTGAGCAGAGCCTCAATGCTGGTTTGTCACCCTGTTTTATGTCCTGGCAAGCTTTAGGACAATTTAAGAATACAAGTTTATAAAATCAGACGCATCCTGAAAAGAGGCCTCTTGAAACTGGGAATAAGGAGCTTCACTCTGATGCCCACAGAGCAGCCCTAGAAACGTGGAAGGAGAAATAGACAGGTTTTCGAAAGCCCGAGCACCTGAGCACCTCCCTTAGGAACAGATCAACTGACAGCTCCACCCTGTCCTCCAGGAGGGCACGTCACCCTGGGGCTCTGGGGCACCCAGAACACAGCAGGGCTGCCGAGGAACTCAGGGCCAAGCCGTGAACAGGATAAAGCAATGCACCTCTGCTGGGCTGCTTCTGCCCACCCACCCTGCCCAATGAAGCTGTCTCCTGGACAGAGCAGAATGCCTGCATGAGGTGACCATCCTATCTCCCGTCTCATTGCTCCATTGTGTCTTGTTGACCCCTCCCATGTCATCCAGGGCTCAGGGTTCTCCAGACAGAGCTGAGGACACGAGGGGATAAAAGCTACTACACCCAGGACCCAGACACTACACAGGCCACCAGCACCAAACAAAAAAGGGAGAGAAGGACAGTAAGGAGGAGAGGTCGAGTCAGTCTGGGGAGGATCAAGGCCCTGCAGGGTGGAAACACTCAACCTGTGGAGTGCAGCGGAGAGCAGGAACAGATGGGAACACCCACGGGTATGTAGGTCAGAGGATGGAGGGCAGAGACCGTGGGGTCTGCATCCCCACCCTAGGACATGACACTAAACTCAGGATGGTGACTGCAGGGTCTGCATCCCCACCCCAGGACATGACACTAAACTCAGGATGATGACCACGGGGTCTGCATCCCCAGCCTAGGACATGACACGGAACTCAGGATAGAGACCCTGGGGTCTGCGTTCCCACGCCAGGGCATGACACAGAACTGAGAAGCAGGCCCACAGGTTGCCTGCATGGTACAGCCCCAGGGTCTGGTGTGGAGAACAGGACATGTCTCTTTATACGGTTTAAACTGGGAGAAGGGAGACTTGATTTTTGCTATTTACCATTTTGTAACATTTGTGGTAAATTTATTAAGGACAGTAGGAAACAAACAAAATCAACTAAAGACATTTTGAAGAAGACACATTGTACTGTTGATTTAAATAATATACAGCATTCAGGAACACAGACACCATCCTGGAGGTATAATCTGAAAGGTGAACAGCAAGGCAAGGTTCGTGGGGAAAGATCTATAGCAGGACGGACAGCAGTTCCTCAAAAGAGGAGACTGGAGGCCCTCCTGCTCCCGTGAGGCTGCCTCACAGGACAGTACAGCCAGGAAGACTGACGGACAGGACCAAAAATATACAGGACACAGCAGCTGGGACCTGAGAGGCACAGAGTTCTCAGGACCCCTACGACATAATCCGCCAAGGACTGATCCCTAGACCTCTTCACAATGATGGACACAGAGACAATCTACGGCCCTGGAGAGGGCAGGTGCAGCTGTGCACCCCACTCTCGGAACTAATAGGACTACACACAGAGCTGGTTACCCAGCAGTAAAAAGCACACATGCAACTGGGAGAGGGGCAGATGACTGGACAGACACGTCACCCACAAGGACAAACATAACAAGTAAGTACATGTCACTGGCCACAGCAGAAAACACCAACTGGAACCACAAGGAGATATCACAACAGCCAGAATGAAACAGTAACCACAGGAAATGCTGACCAGGTCAAGGAGGGCCAGGAACCCAGCAGCCCCTTAGAGAACAGCCTGTCAGCTTCTCATAGTACTAAAGGTCCAGCTAGTGCAGGACCCAGCCCCTGGACTCTCAGCACTTTATCCCCGAGAGTCTTATCCCATGTCTGCACAACAGCCTGAGCTGTGTGCTCTCAGCAACATGAACCACAGACAAGCCCAGCATCCTAAGGCAGGCAGGAGCTAGACCATGGCACAGGCAGAGCACAAGATCCATTCGGTAACAAAAAGCAGCAGTACACTGGCATGCCGCCAGGTAAGTGCACCGAGAGGAGCCTGTGTGGTTCTGTCTACACAATGTTCTTGAAATGACAACATTACAGAGATAGACCATAGATGGGGTTGCCAGGGCTGGAGGCCTGAGCTCGGGGCTATGGTAGAAGGGTAGCACAGGGCTGCCACAGATCTTGACACATGTGGTAAGACCACACAGACTAACACAGACACTTACACACATAAGACCCAGGACACGAGAATATGGCTGAGTACATTTGTGGACTTGCCATGAGCTCTCTGCACCTGTTGTAATTGCATATGGGTCTCCCCAGTGTCAACATGCGGTCAGAGGCAGTATTAGAGCTCAGGCACCAAACATCAGAGCACGTGCTGGATGGGAAAAGCCAAGCGCATCACAGTGAAGCCAGGACTCTAAGAGCTGTTACGTCAACCATCAGGTCTGCTGTGGGCTCACGTCACATGCAACAACCCCCACTCAGCTGACATAATTTTAATTATTTCCATAAACTCACTAACATATTCTCCACCATGAATCAAGCAGGCTTGTTCCACCACACTCTGCAGACTTGTGAACCTGCCTGTGTGGGGCCATAGCAGGACTGTGGTCAGTCATTTCTCTCCTTGTTATTTCTAATCTGGAGACATCAGAGCAACCTGCAACAAGCACAGCGGCAAGGGGCCATGCAGAGCAGGGGTGGCCACACAGGGACAGTGATGGGAAATGTCATTAAGCCCACCCCACCTTCATATACACAGACATGGAAATGAGGAGACTCACAGAGGCAGCCCTCCTGCAGTTCACGTCCCTGTCAAACACTGCGGCAATGACCAGTGCGCTGCAGAAAAGAGAGAAGAGAGTAATTAAAAGAGCTTCATGAAGTGCAGCTGTGGCATCAAGCAGAGACCTCTCTCTTCCTTTTGTCCCTTCATGCGGCCCATTGGACTTGAGCTCACCCCACATAAAACTCAAGTTCAAGGGGACACGCAGAAGTCAGGGCCAGGCGGAAGGATACCTCCCGGGTCAAGAAGGCGAAGCCATCCCCAGGGCACAGGTGTTGCCCAGAGCTGTGAGCTTAGCTGGCTCCTGGCACGGCACTAGGACCTGACCACCAATGCTGACCATGGCGTGGAAGATGGTCAGCAGCAGAGTTCCTGGGGCCAGGGCGTCTGCTGTCCTGAGGGACCCATTCAGTCCCACCCAGGCATCTACATGCCCAAGGGACCTAGGGCATCAGTCTGCAGCCCCCACTGATGGCCCTCAGTCCACCCTCTGCCTGCTCGGCCCGGCCCTTACCCCTGTAAGGGGCCCTTCACCCTCTGCCTTCCACTTGATTCCTGGTTCTTCTAGCTAAAAAGACAAAGTCCTGGACCCAGCCAGCCTCCCAGTGCAGCACACCTACCAACACCCTGTGGGAGGCGGTGATGCCCCCTCGAAGTCATCCACATCCTAACCCCAGAACTCTTGAGCACGTTCCCTACATGACACAGGGGAAGTAAGGGTGCTACCAGCTGGCCTTACAATGAAGAGATGACTCTGGATTATCCCAACAGCTCAGTATAAACAAAAACATCCTTAAAAATGAAAGCAGGGACCAGGCACAGGGGCTCAGCCCTACAATCCCATCACTCTGGAAGGTTGAGGCAGGAGGGTCGCTCGAACCCAGTCTGAGCAACACCCTAAGACCCATCTCTAAACACACATGGAAGCAGAAAGAGAAACCCAGAGACACAGCCCAAGGAGGGTGTGGCCAGACTTGCTGGCTCTGAAAGTGAAGAAAGAACCTGTGCACCAGGAAATGCTGGCACCTCTAGGAAGAGGGAAAGGCAGGAGCAGAAACCCCCTGGAGCCTCCAGAAAGAAGCAGCCATCCCAGGGGGAGAGCCAGACCCAGGACTCTACGTTCACACAGAAAAATGCTGCTCAGCCTCAGAGAGGGCCATCGGGTGAATCCTAAATGTATTTTGCCAAATGAAAGAAGTCAGGCTCGGCGCCTGTGGCTCAAGCGGCTAAGGCGCCAGCCACATACACCTAAGATGGTGGGTTCAAATCCCCAGCCCAGGCCCGCCAAACAATGGCTGCAACCAAAAAAAAATTGGCCGGGCGTTGTGGCGGGCGCCTGTAGTCCCAGCTACTTGGGAGGCTGAGGCAGGAGACTCGCTTGAGCCCAGGAGTTGGAGGTTGCTGTGAGCTGTAATGCCATGGCACTTTACCCAGGGGGATAGCTTAAGGCTCTGTCTCAAAAAAACAGAAAGAAAGAAAGAAAGAAGTCAAAGCCATTAAGTATGTATTTGTTGACTGACTCCATTTATAACACGTTCTAGCAACAGCAAGACCATGTGACCAAACCAGACCCAAAGGAGTAAATTTTACGGCATGCAGTTAACCAGGAAGGAGCATTTCACCACTGCAGGTCAACCAAATACAACCATGAGGCCAAGGAGCCTGAGAGCAGACGAGTGGTAATGTCCACATCTCAGAGAATAGGCAGGGCTGAGGAACAGAGATGGGAGAGCCACACACAGAACAGGGTGTGGGGTGGCCATCCCAGAATAAGGTAAGTCACATATGCTGCAGGGGGCGGGAGGGGGGCCCAGGAGCCATGTCCTTCAAATGTGGGACTGTTAGTGGGGGCACTGATGAGGCCTTGGGGTCCAGATCCTGCTCAGACACCCAGAGCAGCAGCCTGGCACCTGGATTTCAAATCCTACTGCCCATTAAACAGAATCAAGATTCCCCAAAGTGGAGGATTCCAGGGCTAGGGCGGGGAAAACAGCCAGATGCACCTCATGGTGCTAGAAAGGAGGAAGTGCTTAGAAACACAGAGGACAGTGTCGTGCTAAAGGGACACAGATGCCACCTAAAACAGGCAAAGCTGGGATAACCCACCCAACAAAGCAGTAACAGCATTCCATCCTAACCCCAGTGGAAGGTGCACCTACGAGGGCACAATGACACCTCTTCCTCCCGAAGGGGCTGCATGCATTTATGTGGAAGGAGCTAGGGAAGTCACGGTAAAACCAGCCCAGAACCTGGACAAGCACATGGCCTCCAAGCAATGCCCACAGCACTTATTATTTATAAAGGAATTAACAGCCACTTTACAGTGCAGACCCCACCCTGACCAGGCACCGAGCTGCAGACCATCGTGACAAGCTGTAGGGTGCCATGTGCCCTCCACCCCTAAGGATGGGATACCCCAAACACTTCTCCCCAACAAGCCCTGGGTGTCATGTGCCCCCTGCCCTTGAGGGTGGGACACTCCAAACTCCTCTTCCCAACATGCCCTGGGGTGCCATGTGCACCTCCACCCTCAAGAACAGGACACCCCAGGATACCTAAACCCCTCTTCCCAACAAGCCCTGGGGTGCTAAGTACCCCTCTCCTCCAAAGGTGGGACACTGGAAGCTCCCCCCCAGAATGAACCTCAGTCCAACACAAAAAACAGTGGACAAAACCAGTGTCTGCAGGACCTGGGTTGGACCCCAGAATAGAAGGAGGACACTGGGACAACAGACCTCCTCACACCCAGGCCTGGCTGAATTGTTTTTTCAACTCTTCTTTAGTTTAAAATTAGTTCAAAATTAAAAATTTTTTGTGGGGGGCAGGCACAGTGGCTCATGCCTATAATCCTAGAACTTTGGGAAGCTGAGGCAGGAGAATCATTTGAGCCCAAGAGTGTAAAGCCAGCTTGGGCAATTGCAAGAGTCTGTCTCTACAAAAAAAATTTTTTTAAACATAACCAGGCATGGTGGCGCCTGTTGTCCCAGCTACTCAGAAGCTGAAGCAGGGGATCAAGTAAGGCCAGAAGTCTGAGGCTACCATGAGCTGTGATGCCACCACTGTGCTCCGGCCTCCCAAAGAGAAACTCAGAGTGAGATGCTCAAAAACAATAACCAAAAAAAAGAACAAAAACAAAACAAAAAGCCCTCTTTTTGGAAAACAGTTAACTATATGAAGACCTTAAAAGATGCAGTATTAGTATCTGGGATGCTTTCTGTTAACACTCCTTTTACTGGTTTAAACTGAAAATAATTTCAGAGTAACTGAACAGAAAGGCATTCCCTTTTCCTCTCTAAACACTTTCTTATATAACAAACCCTAGCCAAATGAGAAAAAAAAAAATGTTGGTTTAAAACTAAAGGGAATTTGTGTTGCTTTAGCATGAACATTTTAATGTTCATTTTATTACAATATATCATAATAGCTTTTGTTAAAATCTTAGAAATCATTCAGTTGTCAAGACATATTAATGTGAACTTTTAGTAACTAAAAATTATATAACTGCTGTTCTTAAGTTGGTTATTTTATTCTAAATATATTCTGAAAATTAATGTATTACATTTACATATCAGTAAGAGTTTCATTTTTTAAAATCCATAAAATCACTTGTTCTAGGAAAAGGCACTGACCGTGGAACCCCTACTATCCTTTAAATCTGTGCAAGCAAAGTACAGGCGTACCTGTATGGCTCTGGCTCCCACTGCTAACCAACAGATCACATTATACACTGAATTCTCCAAATTTCTCTTATTTGTCCTAAATTACTATTTTTAAGTTATGGAACACTGATTAATAAAGAGAATGTAACAAATACAGACAAGAAACTTAAAATCACCTCCCATTCTAACAAGCCAGCAGCAACACCAGCTGGCTGTAGCAGCACTTCTGAGGGCCAGACCAGGGCCCTGAGCACAGACAAAGGACAAGGTGCCTCCCACTCTGCCCACCCAAGAGCCAGCAGTCCAGGCCCAACCCAGGCCAGGAAGTTCCGCACTTCTGGGAGGAGCCCACCCTGCGGACCAAGAGGAGCTGAAGGCGGCTTCCCTCCCTCACAGCCCCTCCAAAACACAGTCTGTGGCCACAGGGAAGAGATCTGTCCAACCCACCTTTTCTCCTGAAAGGCTGCTCAGAAGTCACCTGCAGCTGTACAGCTGGGGCTGTGATCCCACGTATCCTCCCCACACTGTAAGAGGGTGGGGGGGGGCCTCATCTATACATTTTCTCCCAGCCCTTCATAGGGACCAGCCTACTATTCTCAGACCCATCGGCCCTCGAACAACTCTCTGAAAGGCTGTGTCCCAGGGCTGGGAGGAGTTCCACATGTCGTCCACCTCCCTGTGGCCACACTGAGAGCCAATGCTCCCCTCTAGGCGGTGCCCCAAGGACACTACTCCCTGTGAGCGGCACTGTACCTGGGCAGTTCGGTGGATAGAGAGGACAACTGAGACTGAGTCTGAGTCTGAGTCTTGCAGGGGCTGCAGCACCTTGAGCGTGAACAACAGGACCACAGCAAGGGGCGCAGGTAGCCTTACCACCTCAGCTTAGCCAGCTTCTGCACTTACAAGTAAATGTCTTAAAATAGTTCCCTGGCTCAGCACCTGTGGCTCAAGTGGCAAAGGCGCCAGCCACATACACCTAAGGTGGTGGGTTCGAACCCAGCCCGGGTCCGCCAAACAACAATGATGGCTGCAATAAAAAAAAATAGCCAGGCGTTGTGGCAGGCGCCTGTAGTCCCAGCTACTTGGGAGGCAGAAGCAGGAGATTCGCTTGAGCCCAGGAGTTGGAGGGGGACAGCTTGAGGTTCTGTCTCAAAAAAAAAAAAAAAAAATTCCTGCTGTATCTACTTGTCACCAAACTTCAGAGTGTTATCGGACAAATATAATTGTGCTTAAAAAATGCCACTCTGTAGACTTCTAAGTTAATTCAACAATCAACCATGTGTATATTATGCATTCAATGCTGTTGTCTTGCCTTAATAGACAGGGTCTCACCCAGTCACCCACGCTGGACTGCCACAGCTTCCTCATAGCTCATCACAGCCTCATGCTCCTGAGCT